CATAAATATGATGACCTGATTGTTCAGTTAATGAATAGTGCAAATTTGATTGATTATTGGAGAGTTCAACATCCTGGGACTTGTCAGTTTTCCTGGTTTAATGTCTCTGGGAATGTTCTAAGTTCTAGAATCGATTACTGGCTCATTTCTAATTCCTTGATAAATCATATTAATAAGTGTGAGATATCTGCTGCACCTTTAACTGATCATTGTGTTATTTCTCTATCTCTTCTGTTTTCAAGGTCTGGTCTAACTCGTGTTTGGAAATTCAATAATACTCTTTTGCAGAGTTCTGTTTTTGGTGAAGATGTCAGGTGGTGGAGGTCAATGCCTTGTAAATATCAGCTGTTAGTAAATGGGAATGGTTTGAATTTAAAATAAAAGAGCTGGCTATTGACACAAGTAAAAAACTGTCTAAACTGAAACAACAACAACAATTTAATATCATTACAAATATTAATAGTCTTAGTAAAAAGACGGATCTGTCACCTGAAGAACTTGTTGAATTAAATAAATTACAGAGTGAACTAGATAAATTATATGAAGAAAAAGCTAAAGGTGCTTTTATACGTTCGAGCTCGCTGGATTGAAGAAGGGGAGAAAAATACATCTTATTTTTTCAACCTGGAAAAACACAGGCAACTAAAAAAGAAGATCACTAAATTGAATATAAATGGATCTGTTTCTGAAGATGAAACTCAGATTAATAGAGAATTACACATTTTTTACAGTAATTTATACAAATCCAACTACTCTGAGACAAACTGTTCAACATTTATAAACACCATAAGATAATTCAATAAAGCAATTGATCTAGATTTTAAACAATTTATGGAAAAACAAATTGAACTTGAGGAGTTGGATAAGGCTATTTTGAAGATGTCGCCTGGCTTGGATCTTGGGCTAACAACTGAATTTTATAGATTCTTTTGGAAAGAGATTAGAGAGATGCTTTATAAAGCTTTCTTAGACTGTATCTCATCAGGTAACCTCTCTAATACTATGCAACGAGGGATAATCATCTTAATCCCAAAACCCAATAAAGAAGTGCAAATGCTGGATAACTGGAGACCCATCACTCTGCTATGCACAGATTATAAAATTTTAGCTCATGTTTATGCTGATCGGCTGAATAGAGGACTTAAAGATATAATTGATGAAAGTCAATCAGCCTTTGTTAAAGAGAGAAATATACACAATCATATTAGACCGGTCCTTGATATGCTGGATTATTGTGACTGCCTTGATAGTCTGATCTTGTTTCTTGATTTTTACAAGGCATTCGACACAGTTGAACACGCCTTTTTGTTAGAGACTTTAAGGTTTTGGGGTTTTGGTGATTCATTTTGTGGATTAATTTGGATGTTTTATAATGATATCTATAGCTCAGTCTCTTTAAATCCAGGACGTACTTCTAGATTTAAGATGCAGCGAGACATCCGTCAGGGTTGTCCTATCTCCCCAAAATTGTTTATCTTGACTACTCGATTACTAGCCCTTCAAATTAATCCTGAGTTAAAGGGAATTAACATTTTTGATAGAGAATGCAAGATTAGCCAATTTGCCGATGACACAGCATTGTTTTTAAAAAAAAAAGATTTAATGGTTGAAAGAGCCTGTGAGGGACCAGACTTAAATAAAGACAAAGGTGTTCAAAAATCAGCAAAAATTTCAATTTAATAATTCCAAAATAGTTAAAGATTCAAATTTCAATGAAAAAATAATCCAAAAGATAAATAACAAATTTGGGCCCAACTTAAATGAGGTCAACTGAACACTAACCAAACTGACCTGTTAATAAACAAAGAACAAGGGGCTGCTTAAATAGGGTGGAGTAATCCAAGTCTGCCACATGAGGGAGGCACAACAACATAAAGGGACAAAAAAACAAAATTAGCTAAAACAGCATCTGAAACAAGTAAAGCAAAACTAACTAACTTAGCACAAATAAGTGAACACTAAAGTGACAAATTAACCAACTAAAGCCAAATTTAACAAATAGAAGTTCCCCCTTCCCTCAGTCTTTGAGAAAAAGTGGTATGTTCCAGGCTTCCTCCTCCAGCTGATCTGCATTTGTAGCACCTCAAAACAAAACAAGTGTTAGTAAACCATTCAGACAAATATTAACTAAAGTGTGTACCCATCAGAAAATACATGTCTAAAATACCTTAAACTTATACATAATGTAATCTGTAACTAATAATGTAAATTAAATAAATACTAACACAATGTGGTGGTGGTAGAAGCATCCACCACTGAGCCCTTAATACAATTTCATTATTCTCTCAGGCTTCAGGTCTAGGCCTTAACATTAACAAATGTGAGATCCTTCCCATTCATAACTGTATTCATCAAAACATCCAGTCAATCAGAGTCGTAAATGAAGTTAAATATTTGGGTGTACTAGTATCTAAGAATGCAATTAGAAGGGAAGATAATAACATTTCAAACCACTTAGTAAATATGAAACAAAGTCTTAGTCGTTGGTTGACAAGAGATCTGACTATTTTTGGAAGGAACCTGTTGACTAAAGCAGATGGCATTTCCAAGGCTGTTTATCCACGTCATTCTATGTATATATCACCACAAAACATAAGAAAAGCCAACTCCATTATCTTTCAGTTTTTGTAGAAAAATAAGACTCATTATGTTAAAAGGTCCCAACTAGTTAAAAAACATGAGCATGGTGGTTTTAATGCACCAGACTTTGAAGCAATGGTTGGAACATTTAGGACTAAATGGTTAAAAAATTTGTTACAACAACAAAATTCAATGTGGTTTCATATCCCTGCCTCCATTTTTAAACAGCTGGGAGGAATTGACTTCTTTGCAAAGTGTGACTTTGAAGTGACGAAGATTCCAGTTAAACTATCAAACTTCCACAAACAAGTTCTTCAGTTCTGGAAAATGATATTTCACCATAATTTCTCACCTCATGGATCAACCTTGTGGAATAATAGAGCAATCACAGTGGGCAGAAAGTCAATATTTAGAAAAGACTGGTATGAAAAAGGTATTATTTTTGTAACAGACATCTTGGATTGTAATGGAGATCTTTTAAATTTCTCATCTTTTGTTAGAAAATATAACCTTAGCTGCTGCCATAAAGATTTTATGAAGGTATGTAAAGCAATCCCTCTAACCTTGATTCAGTTAATTAAAAATATCATTATGTATTCAAAGGTGACCGTTTCGATGCCCACATTAAAACTAAATGACTGTAGTTTAGTTGATCTCAAATGTAATAACAAGATGATCAATGAATGCATGCGACAAAGGATTTACTGTGATTATAACAAAGATTCATTCAAGAAACCTCCCAATATAAATCATAAAACCATAAAGACCTCTGCTCATTCGAAATTTGTCAAATGGCTTAAATCTCCTAAAGTGAAAGAAAACCATTTAAAAATAATAAACAAGATATATCCAGTAGCCATGTTTCTGCACAGGTTTAAATTTGAGGTGGATTTGTGTGTCTTTTGTAAATCTGAAGATAAATCCCACGATCATTTGTTTTTTTCACGTCAGTACTCACAAAGTTTCTGGACTGACATTACAAACTTAATCTAAAACTGAACATTCCTCCCTTTGATGCTGATGCCATTTTATTTGATATGGATCATTTAAGCTCAGCTTACTCTGATGCTATAAATATAGTTATCCTTATAGCAAAGTAACACATTCTTTGTTTTATGAATGAATTCAAGTTGTACTATTCTTCATTAAGTAGATTAAAAAACTGGAAAACTGCTAGAACCATCTCACAACAGATATCAAAAAACTTGTTGTTTTAAGTTTCTCATATTGTCTTGCTCCTTTTTGTTTCTTTTTTTCCATTTACTGTGTTTTACATATGTATTTCTCAACTTTCATCTTTTTGTAACCCCCCCCCCCCCCCCCCCCCCGCAAACTGTAGTTATGACACCCTTCACGAGAGTTTGTATATGTCTTTCTATTTTGTAGTGTTCTGTAGTTCTGTGTGTTTAATAATTAAAAAAATAAAATAAAATAAAAAACAATGCTGGCGATATGGATTCCTTCAAGAAATACTGTGATTTAATGTACAACTTGTACTTAATTCAATTCAATTCAATTCAAAAGTACTTTATTAATCCCAGAGGGAAATTATTTGTTGTTGTAACTCGTTATCCTCATTTCATTAAGAGATATTATAGATACTGATGGCTGTAGGCAGGAAGGATCTCTTGTAAAGGTCCATCTCACAGTGGATCCTAAGAAACTGGCTGCAGATGACGTCCGATCCGTCCACCCAGACTCGGCTGGCCTCTCGATTCCCCCGGGCTGTAGGACCACCTGAATGCTGGGCTGAACTCCTCCCAGAGCAATGGCCACTCCTCCCAGCAGTCTGCAGAGCTCCTCGTCGCTGCGGACAGCCATCTGTAGGTGCCGAGGGACGATCCTGTCCTTCTGCTGTCATGAGCCGTGTTTCCTGCTAGTTCCAGGATCTCAGTGGTCAGGCACTCCAGCACAGCTGGCAGGTAGATGAGAATGCATCCACAGAACATCCTTTTCAACTCACTTGAGATTTTGGGCTCTGGTTGAGATATTATTTCAGCTTTTGAGATGTTAATCAGCTGTTGGTTGTAGAAAACTGCCTTGTTGCCATGGTTACGCATCATAACAAATGTCCAAAACTAAAAAAAGTTTCAGTAAAAATCCTTCCAGCTGCACAGCATCTGATACCAGAGGAAACAATCATCCAAAAAATGTGATTTACATCCAGAAAAAGAGGAAGTGAAGTTTCCAAAAGCAAAATCTCAAAATGAAAGTAACAGAGCTGCTCCAACATGCAGCCACCTTGAGCGGCGCAATTCTAGAACTAGAACTGAACTGAATAGTGTTAAAAATTATGTTAATGAGCCTGAACAATATTCTGTTTGGTTTGTTTAAATAAATAAATGATAATCTGTTTGTTTTCGCTTTTACATTGACCGTCATTGACGTATGCAAATGACGTAGGACGTTCAGACCTGCGCACGCACTCCAAAATGGCGAACCGCAACAAGGGTACGGAGGTCCATGACAATTTTTTTCTGTTTGACCTAAACTTAAGTGATATTTTCGAAGTATGACGAAGTAATATAAGTATTTATTATTTTTAATACCGACGTCGTGAATTGTTAACCCTCTCGTTCCGCATGCTAACCTCTGTTAGCTTCCGATGCTATCAGCAGGCCTGAGAAGTTTACTAAAAACAGTAAACTTTACTGTAGCTGCTCCTTCTTGTTGAATTACCCCAAACCTTTACTGATGAACTTCACTCTTGTGTTTTCTGGGGTTGTGTATTGACTGTTGTCACCATGACTAGACTCTTGATTATGTAGCCACTCGTCGCATAACTCGGTTCTTTCTTTCTGTTTTCCACATTAAGATGTAGAAGAGGAGATTTACGACAAGGTGGTGGATCTCACAGAATACGCCAAACGTCAACGATGGTGGAACCGCCTTTTTGGAAAAAACTCCGGTCCTGTAGCAGAGAAGTACTCTGTAGCCACACAGATTGCCTTGGGAGGAGTGAGCGGATGGTAAATTGTCCTGCTAACGCATCATGCTGCCTTCAGGGACCCGTAATTCTACTTTGAGTTTAATATACAATGTAAACCAAAACTCTGGGATGGTACTCTGTTCCTTTCTGGCTCATATTTAAGAGTTTTCTCGTTTTTGAACAACCAGCAACAATCAGCACAACATTGTTTCCCACTATCAATGCAAACAATAACAGAAATTCAAATAATAACAATAACAGAAATTCTAATAATAATAATGATGATGATGATGATAAAATAAAAGTAAAAAAAGAGAGAGGTGATAATTAAAACTAAATTAAAAGGAAATTACAATTCAGTGCCAAAGGCAGACTTTAAAAGTGGGATCTGTATTCAGTCAAGAGTAATACTGAAAAGTATTGATGGCACTGTAAAATGTGAAAACCGGGTTAGCTGTTGAAATCATGTAATTTGTGATCTCATGCACTGTTAGATTTCACATTCAGAGTGTTATGAATGTTTCTTAGCTATTAACATGTAAAATTTAAACTCAGAATCTGTAAAGCTGGCTGCGTTTGTGTCGGCTCCTATCAATTACCTGTGCCTGTGGCGACCACCTACAAGTGGTGTGACTAAATTAATTAGTTGTAGATGTGTGATAAGTTTCTAAAAGTTTCATTAAAGTCTGCATATTGCTTCATGAGATATTTTGTTAATAGACAAATAGGATTAAATTAAACAATTATTTTAAGCAAAGATCTTGCACAATGAGTGGCACTTGGAGTTTGTGTTGTGAAAGCCTCACACCTACTTCATCCATCCATTATCTTTACCCGCTTCTTCCATTTGGGGTCACGGGGGGTCGCCGGTGCCCATGTCCAGCAATCACTGTGCGAGGGGCGGGGTACACCCTGGACGGGTCGCAAGTCCATCACAGGGACACATAGAGACAAACGAGACAAACAACCATTCACTCTCTCACTCACACCTAGGGACAATTTAGAGTTACCAATCAGCCTAACATGCATGTTTTTGGACTGTGGGAGGAAACCGGAGTACCTGGAGAAAACCCACGCATGCACGGAGAGAACATGCAAACATGCCTCACGGCTACTGTCACACCAAATTGTAGCACGATTAATAAAACTGAGTTCTAGCCATTTTTGAGTTTTCTAAGGACGATTAGCTGTGGCGGCCATCTTGAGTCAGGTTGACTCCAAAAGTTAATTAGTTGTAGATGTCAACTCAGTGATTATTTTCTGAAAGTTTCATTATAGTGTTTCATGAGAAATCTTGCTTATTATTAAAGGCCTGGTTATACCTCACAAGATGTTCTAGACATAAGATCTCACTTGTGTGATTGTGAGTCGGTCTGTTTTGCATGAACAGTTTATACTCGGAGAAGTCCTGATAAAGTCTTCCCACTTTAGACACACATCACACGCAAACAACAACAACAACACCGGAAGAATACAGTTGGCAAAATGGTTGTTTATTTTTAGTTGATGATAGAGGAGTTGCAGTAGAAAGATCTGGTATTTCTGTTGTTAACCAAGACAATGTACTATTTTGTAGATTTGCCACAAAGAGATCGCCACCTTTCCCAACTGTCTGTGGTGTGATAACTTGAAAGATAAGTCTGGTACTGACTTCCATTTTGGTGTGTGGCTGCACCTAGGCTTAAGAACGGGTACCATCGAAAATTGGGTGCCTTGTAAAAATCCAAGATGGCCACAACCATATATATGTGGCCACCATTGTCATTTGAGAAAACTATTTTTTGTAGTTTTATATTGCTTAAAGTATAGTTTCCTCAAGTGGTTGGGGTGGTCAAAGATTAATCTATGGTGATGAAGGCCCCCATTGGCCACCCTCTTGTCTCCCCATTGCACTTGGTGGTGGATAAAACTGCTCCCTCCACTCGCCAGGATCTGTTACTCTGCGCTGTCACGGACAAACAAAAAAACTTATGTTCTTATACGCAGTGTAACTTCTATCCATCTGAATATCTTGCACAAAAATCATTCTCATCTTGAAAACTACAAACATTCAGTATTCAAATCCCTCAATGACGGGGGACATCTGCGTACTACTTGTATAACTTGGTGTCATCCTTGGCCAACTTTTATTAAGTCCACTTTGGCTCAAGCAGTGACCAATGGTGCGATCTGACACTCATGACCTTGGAGTTCACCTCAGATCTCTCAAGTTGTTTTGGGCTCTTTGGTTACGATTTGTATTATTTGTCAAGTTGTCTCATTTATTAAGGCGTTTTAAACCCTGCCCACACTCTTGCAATATTCTAAGCAATGTTTCTAAACTCTAAACGCTCTAAAAGAAAACAGAATGTCATGATTTCAGCGCTCTGCCTCAGCTGCTCTTTGAAACCTGCAAGCTCTCTTGGCCACGCCCACTTCTCCGCTTTGCACAGAGAACAGCTGATCAGCTGCAGGAGTAAGCTTATCCTACAGTGTGGGCTGCACAAAATTATTTTAAATAATTTTATTTTAAATAAAAATTTCATGCAGATCGTGCGGCTCATCCATCATTCAGCCATTTGTGTGTCATGTCCAATCTTACTTTGAATAACCGCGATAGAGCAATACCATAAGCGAACTGCGAAGTAGTGAAGGACTACTGTATATACAGTGCCTTGCGAAAGTATTCGGCCCCTTGAACTTTTCAACCTTTTGCAACATTTCAGGCTTCAAACAGAAAGATGTAAAATTTTATTTTTTGTGAAGAATCAACAACAAGTGGGACACAATCGTGAAGTGGAATGAAATTTATTGGATGTGTCAAACTTTTTTAACAAATAAAAAACTGAAAAGTGGGGCGTACAATATTATTGGGCCTCTTTACTTTCAGTGCAGCAAACTCACTCCAGAAGTTCAGTGAGGATCTATGAATGATCCAGTGTTGTCCCAAATGACTGATGATGATAAATAGAATCCACCTGTGTGTAATCAGGTCTCTGTATAAATGCACCTGCTCTGTGATAGTCTCAGGGTTCTGTTCAAAGCGCAGAGAGTATCATGAAGACCAAGGAACACACCAGGCAGGTCCGAGATACTGTTGTGGAGAAGCTTAAAGCCGGATTTGGATACAAAAATATTTCCCAAGCTTTAAACATCCCAAGGAGCTCTGTGCAAGCAATCATATTGAAATGGAAGGAGTATCAGACCACTGCAAATCTACCAAGACCCGGCCGTCCCTCTAAACTTTCATCTGGAACAAGGAGAAGACTGATCAGAGATGCAGCCAAGAGGCCCATGATCACTCTGGATGAACTGCAGAGATCTACAGCTGAGGTGGGAGAGTCTGTCCATAGGCCAACAATCAGTCGTACACTGCACAAATCTGGCCTTCATGGAAGAGTGGCAAGAAGAAAGCCATTTCTCAAAGATATCCATAAAAAGTGTTTAAAGTTTGCCACAAGCTCCTGGGAGACACACCAAACATGTGGAAGAAGGTGCTCTGGTCACATGAAACCAAAATCCAACTGTTTGGCCACAATGCAAAATGATATGTTTGGAGTAAAAGCAACACAGCTCATCACCTGAACACACCATCCCCACTGTCAAACATGGTGGTGGCAGTATCATGGTTTGGGCCTGCTTTTCGTCAGCAGGGACAGGGAAGATGGTCAGAATTGATGGGAAGATGGATGGGGCCAAATACAGGACCATTCTGGAAGAAAACCTGTTTGAGTCTGCAAGAGACCTGAGACTGGGACCGAGATTTATCTTCCAACAAGACAATGATCCAAAACTTGAAGCCAAATCTACAATGGAATGGTTCACAAATAAACATATCCAGGTGTTGGAATGGCCAAGTCAAAGTCCAGACCTGAATCCAATCGAGAATCTGTGGAAAGAGCTGAAGACTGCTGTTCACAAACGCTCTCCATCCAACCTCACTGAGCTCGAGCTGTTTTGCAAGAAAGAATGGGCAGAATTTCAGTGTCTCCATGTTCAAAGCTGACAGAGACAAACCCCAAGAGACTTGCAGCTGGAACTGCAGCAAAAGGCGGCGCTACAAAGTATTAATGCAAGGGGGCCAAATAATATTGCACGCCCCACTTTTCAGTTTTTTATTTGTTAAAAAAGTTTGACACATCCAATAAATTTCATTCCACTTCACGATTGTGTCCCACTTGTTGTTGATTCTTCACAAAAAAATAAAATGTTATATCTTTATGTTTGAAGCCTGAAATGCGGCAAAAGGTTGAAAAGTTCAAGGGGGCCGAATACTTTCACAAGGCACTTTATAACAATCTATAAAATTTCTCCTTTTTATTGAAGGTGTTGGGATAATGTGATTTTTGTATTAACCACTCGCTGTTTGTTGTTTATTTTAGGTGTGCAGGTTATCTTTTCCAGAAAGTGGGAAAGGTTGCTGCTACAGCTGTAGGGGGAGGTCTGCTGCTGCTGCAGGTACTTATACACCACTGCTCCTAAACTTGAAAAATTTAATCAATTCACTTCTTGTCAGTTTTGAAATTCTTTCTCTCTTTTTTCCAGATTGCTAATAACAGTGGCTATATCCAAGTGGACTGGAAGAGAGTAGAGAAAGATGTCAACAAAGCTAAAAAACAGTTACAGAAAGGAACAAATCGGTCTGCTCCAGAGCTGAACACATTTGTTGAAAGGGTATGTTTTCTTTTGAGAAAATCTTATCTTATTCTCTCATTTGAGGACTTATGTAAAAGCAAAAACAGCTTGTTGTGGCAAATTTCTGCACAAAAGTCAGTCTCTTGTGACGTGCGAAATACAATTTATGTGAATTAATTCATTACTTGTGTTTTTTTCTGCCAACAAACAAACTTAAGCTTAAAAACAAACTCTGATCTCAGATTTGCCAAACTGTGCACTGTTTGCACAGCAAGCACATGTCAGATTTGAAAATATACCGGTATGTTTGAGCCATCTTGTGGACGGCTTGGAATTAAGCTACTGAGTGGCCGACTTTTTGAGGAGCTGCTGGAGTGGGACTTCCTCTTCCTTGTCATCAGATTTTGCAAGAGAGGCACTAGCAGCATATTTAAGACTCAGGGATTGAAGCAAAAAAAAAAAAAGTTGACTTTTTCTCCACCTAGAGATTAGCCAAGCCCCCCCCCCCCCCCAATACCACACATTTGAGGGCAATTTCCTGCATTCAGGTTACTTCTCAAAGGTTTTCACATAAAGAGGAGCATACTATGTACATGACCTTAGTAAAAATTCTGCTTCCGGCAAGCTGATGGACGGCAGTTCCCTCCGGTTTCTCGGCAGTCTTTTATCATCAAACTGACCCGTTTTTCGAAGTTGGTCCTCCTACCAACCGAGAGCCGGACGGGACCGTCCAAAAAAATAACATTTTGGTCCAGGACCGGCTGCTCCCACCAAGTGCGATGCTTTGCATGACGGGATAAACCCACCAGCGACAGCCTTAAAGGGCTACGTCTATACTCATAGAATTTGGGGTTACAGTACGTAACCAACGTTTTCTTTACTGGACTCTTTTCTCTTTCTCTTGACTAGAAAGAAGAAAAAGGTGGTTAATTCAAGCTACATACTGTTTTTGAATAAATGCATAAAACAAAGAAAGGTGCTGCTAACAGCTATATTAATAATAAGAAACTGATAAAATAAGAAAATTAAAAATAAATTGATTTAAAAATAATGAAAATAATATAATAATAACAATGGATATATGAATCAGAAAGTATTATACAGATACAGATATTCTTTATTGTCATTTGCACCACATGTGGTACATGTGGTGGATCAAAATTATGTACACAGGGTCCCAGTTACAGCCAACAATAAAATGTAAAAGAAAAACTGTAATAAGATCTAAGATAAGAACTAAGAAAAACATCAACTAAAAATATGATAAGCACCCATCCATCCATCCATCCATCCATTATCTTTACCCGCTTCTTCCATTTTGGGTCATGGGGGTCGCCGGTGCCCATGTCCAGCAATCACTGTGCGAGGGGCGGGGTACACCCTGGACAGGTCGCAAGTCCATCACAGGGACACATAGAGACAAACGAGACAAACAAACATTTACTCTCTCACTCACACCTAGGGACAATTTAAAGTTTATGATAAGCACTAATAGCATAAAAACAATAAACAGAATACGCCGAACAGCAGCATGGACATGAGTCTGTGTGAACAGATGAGCACAAATGAACACAGCAACATGAAACAGATCAGCAGCAACATGAAACAGATCAGCAG